ACTTAATTGGAGCTCTTGTTGCTGTAGCTGCCTCGATTCAAATTGTTTTGAGCCTTTTCATTTGCTAGACTGATTTAATTCTTGTTACAGGCTCTTATGTACCCTCTTCTCGTTGCATGTAAATCCATAAGCAATTTACGCAAAGCAGCAGCACAAGAAGTGGTTGACAAAGTGCGTCAGCACAGTGGTGTACTTGTGGATCAGGTAAACTAATTAAAATAAGTTTATATTTTACTTTCTTTATTATATTTCCCTTAGCTTTTTGATCTATAAGTACATGTGATCTTTACACAGGCACAACTGGTTTCAAAGGAACTACTCAGGGTTGCAATACTTTGGCATGAATCATGGCATGAGGCACTAGAAGAAGCTAGTCGTCTATACTTTGGTGAACATAACATTGAAGGAATGCTGAAAGTCTTGGAGCCATTACATGAGATGCTTGAGCAAGGGGCTAGGAGGGACACTACCACCATAAAAGAGAGAGCATTCATAGAGGTATTCTTTTTATTTCTTTGCTGTTAGCGAGCTTATCTCCCACCCAGGATTTGATCAGTAACTAATGCATATTCTGCTCAATCTATGGAATTCTAGATCATATTATCACCATTAATAGTGAATACTCCCAACCTAGTTGTCGTATACTTTTGGAGCTGTGAGCCATATTTTTTTTCTGATATATTGGAATCCACCTGGCATTTTGGGAGATTTTCAGTTTGTGTGCCCGTTTAATTCATTTTATTTTCATTGTATCGCAGGCATACCACCATGACTTGTCACAGGCGTATGAATGCTGCATGAAATATAAGAGAACTGGAAAAGATGCTGAGCTTACTCAGGTACAAAATGTTTAATGAATAAATTCTTGGATTTGAAATTTATTCCAGTCATTTCCAAGGTGGTCTTTTGGTAGGAGAAATTATTGTGCATTTTGTGAGCAATATTAATACTTGTGGTTGGGGGCAGGTTAATTCCCTAATTTTGGGGGTAACATTGCCTGTCCTTACCTGTGCTTGTATTCGGGGCAGGTTTGTCACCAACTTACGTGGAATCTCTTGCTTGAAGCTGTCTAGCTTTAGGCTTGTCCTTTGAGGTCTCCCTCTATTATAGATACTCTTTTGTCAAAATAGGGATGCTAATTAGAAAGAATATATTGGTGGTTCATCTGTTCCTTTTTGCCTGTGGGTTACCAGAAGCATGGGACATCTCCTAATTATTTCTTGAATTCATCAGGCATGGGATCTCTATTATCATGTTTTCAGGAGGATAGACAAACAACTTCAAAGTCTTACTACCCTGGACCTGCAGGCGAGTATCAGTCTATATTTCTTCACAATTCGTTAATGCAATGACTCATAACTTTTCATTGTACATGCTGCAGTCTGTTTCTCCTGAGTTGGTAGAATGCCGTGATTTGGAGCTCGCAGTCCCTGGGACATATCGTGCAGGTAAGCTTAATGGTTGTTTTACATGGATGTGTTGGTATAAATCTGAGTGGCCTAACTAAAAACAACCCATTTTTTAATTTTCAGAATTGCCAGTGGTAACCATTTCATCATTTGCACGTCAGCTTGATGTCATAACTTCCAAACAGCGCCCTCGGAAATTGACTATTCATGGGAGTGATGGTGAAGAGTATGCCTTCTTACTAAAAGGACATGAAGATCTTCGCCAGGATGAACGTGTCATGCAGGTATTTTCTGCTTTCTTGTCTGTTTCTTTTTTTGTATTTCACATTCATGCAAGTTGATTCTATGGTTCATGTGCTGTGTTTAGAGGCTTACATTGATTCTGCTATCTTGAGTAAAACTATAATTTACTGTTTTGCATAATTCATGTACTGAGAGCTGATATCCCTTGCTGGTCAAAATGTCAGCTTTTTGGCTTAGTGAACACTCTGCTAGAGAACTCTAGAAAAACTGCAGAGAAAGATCTGTCTATTCAGCGATATTCTGTCATACCACTATCTCCAAACAGCGGGTTGATTGGATGGGTCCCTAATTGTGATACCTTACACCACCTTATAAGGGAATACAGAGATGCCAGAAGGGTTTGTTGAAGTTCATCATATACTTTCTTTTAGTTAGCCCAACAATAATATGTTTGCTTATAGCTGGTGGCTTTATAGCGTAAAGATCACATTTAACTTTACACGTGCTTCATGGTTTCAGATCACTCTAAATCAAGAGCACAAATGTATGCTAAGTTTTGCACCGGATTATGACCATTTACCACTTATTGCTAAAGTGGAAGTATTTGAATATGCTCTAGAAAATACTGAAGGAAATGACCTGTGCAGAGTATGTGTGCTTAACATTCTTCTGTATCCTAGTATTATTCCTGTCACATTGATTGATTTTGAACTTTATAAATCTGGCTTTGGCTAGGTTCTTTGGTTAAAAAGTCGTACTTCTGAGGTGTGGCTAGAGAGGAGGACAAATTATACCCGAAGTTTAGCTGTAATGAGCATGGTATGTACTTTAACTTGTATTTTGGTCCATCCTTAATTACTGCAAGAGTCTGGCTGTAAAGGGGACTGCCACTGTTATTTTTTATTCAACAAATTGAGTACTGGATCCCTGTATACAATCAAATTGTCTTTTCTTTCTATGGTGATTAATGATAAAAGGTTTGGATTGCCACTTGTTTGTAGCCACATTGGCCTCATATAAACTGGAAAAGTAATCTAGTGTTTAGTGTCTTCATTTGTTTTTCCATAAATGGATTGATTATTTGTAAATTATCCCAATTTGGCAAAATGAAGAAATTTCAATGCAAATACATCTCAGGTTATATAGAAAGAGTTTGCTGTAAAACTTCAATTCCTGCTTATTTGTGCTAGTAATATGACATGCGATCACACAATTCTTCCTTTTAAGAAACTTTTTTAAATTAAAAGAAGTAGCAGAGTTGTTTAAATGTTAGAGAAAAAAAATGGAGCTTTTTTATCCATTTTTACTTTGAATGTAGTACAGTGGTATCCCAAGGCCACAGATGTATTTGGAGATCTTTTCTTAGATTGTAGGTCCGGTTATCTTCCTAAGCACATGTAGAAAGTAAAGTGTTGATATTATATTAGATATTGAGCTTCATTGTAAATCAAAGCCGTAACTTATGTTATACATAGTGATTGTGTCCTAATTAAAAGATTCTATATAAGTTGACGACAAATGGCTTTTTGTTTTTCAGGTTGGTTACCTCCTTGGCTTAGGTGATCGTCACCCAAGTAATCTCATGCTGCACCGCTATAGGTATAAAAACAACAGGAAGAAAGTGTATTAGTTATCAAAGATTTATATTTTATAGTAGTGATACTGTTTTGCAGTGGAAAGATCTTGCACATAGATTTTGGAGACTGTTTTGAAGCCTCTATGAACCGGGAAAAGTTCCCTGAAAAGGCATGTCTGATCAAACAATTGCCAAGTTATTTTTCTCATTGTTTTTGGGTTGAGGGGAAGGGGAGGGGGTGTTGTACCTTATCTCTGTACAAAACTATGGGATTACAATTTGTTAATGTCTGTTGTGTTATTCTTCATTTAGGTTCCTTTCCGTTTGACTAGAATGCTTGTCAAAGCCATGGAAGTCAGTGGTATTGAGGGCAATTTCCGTTCAACATGTGAAAATGTGATGCAAGTTCTCCGATCAAATAAGGATAGTGTTATGGCTATGATGGAGGTATGAACTTCTGGAATTTAAATTTTCTTGTCCTTTCCTTTTTTTTTTTTTTGCTCCAGTAGAGCTTTTGTAACAAGGGCAAGTTTGTTGATTGTTAATCGTGCTGTGGTGATCTTCACAATTATACTAAGAAAAATGAAAAGCAATTATGGTTCGGGTCTGGGTATACTAAGAAAAATGAAAAGCAATTATGGTTCAGGCGTGGGTCTTTTACAACAACGATAAATAATTGATAGGAGAATGTGTATCTATTCCATTTCTGCCTTTGCTGAAATCGCATTGAGAAGAGTGGTGTAACAGCACTCTGGTTGTCATTGTTGCCAATCCATTAACATGAAGGAAACATCTGTTTTTTTTTCTTTGTTTATGCATAAATTGGAGGAAGCTGACTTTCAAATCAACTGTTTTTCAGGCTTTTGTTCACGATCCTCTCATTAATTGGCGTCTTTTCAATTTCAATGAAGTTCCACAAATGTCAATGTTTGCAAGTACTCATGTCCCGGCTGTTGTAAACACTGAAGAAACTGCTCAAAGTAAAGAGCTCGCTCAACCTCAGCGGGGTGCACGTGAGAGGGAACTTCTTCAGGTTTTATAAGTTTTGCAATTTTTTATAACTGCAGTGTTACATGGTGGTGCTTAAAATCAATTTGATCACTCTGTAGGCTGTTAATCAACTGGGTGATGCTAATGAGGTTTTGAATGAGCTTGCTGTGGTGGTTATGGCTCGTATGAGTAACAAACTTACTGGACGTGATTTTTCCTCTTGCTCTTCAATACCCACCTGTTCTATCCAAAATGCAGTAGACCACAGCACGTTAATTTCTGGAGATAATCGGGAAGTGGAACATGGTTTATCTGTTAAACTGCAAGTTCAAAAGTTAATTATCCAAGCCACATCGCATGAAAATTTGTGCCAGAACTATGTTGGGTATGACCCTTTGCAATTTCCCGCTTCTTTCCCTTATATCTAGCATTTTGGTGCATGTATGCTAGATTTTTGTTAAGATAATTTAGTATTTTTTATTTTACATAGGATGTTGAAATGAAAAGAAGGAATAACTCTATATTTAGAGAACACCTGTTGGTCATTCGTTGGTGATGGTGTCAAGTAGGAATCGTAGATGATTTATAATCATATGTTTGCTGTGTGTCCATAACGTACATGAATACTCTCCTTCGACTCTCTTAACTTGTGATTGCCATTTTATTTGCTACAGGTGGTGTCCCTTTTGGTGATGGGAAGAAAAAAAAAATTGGATTATTTATGCATAACATGTACACATCTGTAATTTATGTAAATAGGTGTATTTTTTTTTTTTTTTTTCAATTTAACCCGTCTTTCTAGCCATGTGTAGGCATTTTAAATTAATAGAATTTGAGCAGTTTTCTCCTGCCAGTTTTTGGGTACGTTAGTCTGATTTAAGAGATATCTGTGAGGTTTGTAGAGATTCTAATTGGCCAGAGCTTAGATTTATAGACGTATCTTGAAATGCATTTTTGTTTTGTTTTTAGAGGCGAATCAGTTAAAAAAAAAAAGAGTACCTCACGTTCTGCTGAAATTTCCTAAAACAGCAGGATGTCTCACAAAGTCTTATTGGCTATAAAACGGTAACCAAAACCATCCCCATACACGTTACTGAATTGAGCAAGGCCATTATGATACCAGTCGGTAATTACAGAGGTTAAAACGAGTTCCAGGATTGACAGTTGGCCCATCCTTTCAGCTACACTTGCATGAAACATTCTGTACGATCAATATTTGCTCCGATATCCGACAACTAATTAGCAGGTCTCTTCCTGTACTTGCTCTGCACCAAGCTCAGTAAAAAGTCCGTAAAAATGTTCTCATAATCCGGCATTTTTCCATAACCTGAAGAACAGTACAAAAAATTTCTTTTAACGTCCAATGCTAATAAAAGAACGTGTTTGAAGCATGCATAGATAAAGGGACTCAAAATTTTATTATTATTAATAATATTACATTTTAACTCTGAAGAACCTCGTCAGAAGCTATGAATGACTGCTAAAGAGATGCAAGAGAAATTTCAGGCATATCTCGAGTTCCATTTATTAGACTGGAAATGCATTAATTCACAACCATCTTCAAGTTGTTATCTGCCCCATCAACTTATCTGAAATATTTCCCAGGTGTGGGCAAGCACATATATTTGAACGTGCCATCAAAGAAAATGATGAAACACTCGTCATCACATGCAACATACAATCTCCATATCCCAAAACACAATTTATTTTTCAATTATTCTCTGCTTCGTATCAATTTCCCTCTAAGGTTTCCCCAAAAAAATTAACTAAACCATTGACAAACAAATATTTCCCAGAAACCTCTAAAGATCAATTCTTATTATTTAACAGGTTTATATAGTGTACTGATGTAGAGCAAATAAGCCTAGAATAGGCATTCTTCCGAAACTTGCAAGAGTATCCTCCATCATCCACTTACCAGGAAAGTAATTAATGTCAATAACATAAAAGATGTCTCTTGTCCCATGCTCTCGGATCATATCTATATTGAACAACCGAAGGCCCTGCAAAACAAAAAAAGTATAACCAACTAAATTAACTAATTAAAATCATGTAACTCCATCCACCTAGCTTAATATGGTGAAATAAATAACTTGCCAGCCGGTGATGGAGCTCCTTTGCAAGCCTCTCCAGCAAAGGTTGTGGAGGAAGTTCTGCAACAGGAATGACATATTAGTGAAAGCACAACTGTAAATTACACCCATACAACCAGAAACATACAAAACCTTTGTAAGTGCTTCACTATAAAACCAAACAATAATTATAAAAGGTATGAAGGAAAATCTAATTCAAATTCCATATACAATGAGTGTAATATGCATATCATATATTAATCACTCACCAGTAACTCCAGGGTCCAAATCTGCATCATCATCAGAAGCCGCAGCAGATGAAACCCTTGTTAAAGGGAAAACACCAGCAACTTTTGCTAGCTTAGATTTGCTTACATTGGGCAGAGAGAAGCGCCTTACAACCTTAATTGCATCCCCAACAACATAAATTTTAAAAAGAACACCACCTATGATGAGACAAAGATAGATTAGTCTCAAATAATAATTAGTATGAAGATAGCTACAAAGGAAATGGTAACGTTAATGAATCCATTGCGACAACATACCATGATTAACAAACTCTTGCAGAACCAATGGAGGCTCAAGTTCAGACAGAGAGAACTGATCATATGCAAGAAACAGCTCATGTGACTTCGAGCTTCCATCCACTACTAGTGGTTTAGCAACTGAAATGATTAAATAAAACAGGATATTTATACATTTATGAACAGAAAAAACCATTAGAAATAATTATAATACTGAATCACAATCTACAAAATGAATAATAACACAAATTGGCATTAAATGCCCCCCACGCTTCATGCATATGGTCTCTTGGTAATATCTGGGTGTTCTTATCTAACAGCCTAATGTTGGTGATATGCTGATTTTGTACTATTAAAGGGACAAAAGGTGTCTAAGTTTTAAAACCAGACATAGAGGTCAACCACCACAGTCAAACAAATAGAACAGAAGATATACCTAAGGGCAATTTCAACCCAGCTTTAGTAACTTCATCAGGGATAGATAGAGGATCTTTTTTGATAACCATTTGTCTTGGAACACCAACTTTGCCTACATTAACAAATAGTCATTGCAAAAATTACCAAGCAACCATGTTTCTTACAACATCTTAAGTTCTGAACAAAATTTTAAAGGGAAAAAGTCTAAAAAATATCTCTGTAGTACAATATAGTGATACCACAATTACCACAGAAGTCCGACAAGTTCAAATCAACCACATCCTGGAGCATTGACTGGCGGTTGCGTAGATGTTGTATTGCATCTGGAGGATCAAGAACAGTTACTTCTGGATGTGTTTGTCTGTAGTCCTTCAAGAACAAAAAGGGGGAATGAAATGGGCTGCCTGCGCAAAGATATTCACCCAAAAAAAAAAAAAACAAGATAATAAAACCTAGGAAAAATTTTACAGCAGGCCACAACTCCTAAAGAGTTTTTTAGCAGTACCATTCGGCAAACAGAGGTGCTATTTGCTATAGCAAGATGAACGGCTCCTTCAAAGTGCCTGATGGAATTTCCCATTTCCACTATAACCCCTTGTGAGTTGCGGACCAAAAATATTCATTTGAAGGAGCAGGAGGACGTTAAATGTTATACCATCAATAAGGCCGAGGTCTAAAATCATTACCTATCATAGCACTGGGAAGCTGGATCGTTGGTCAGATGATTCAAACAAATCATCTTTTACTACTCGAAATAACTAGACAACTCTTTACACATTGTTCAGCACTAGAAGTCAGGACAAACTCCTATAGTTAAATATGATTTAAAGCTAAGTACATATCATAAAAATAAAGGTTCAAGATGAGATAGTAATAGTACCAGTCGAAAGAATTTTACAAAGCAAAAAACATGGGTGACAAAATGGCAAGAGATATGTTCCCATCAAATTGATCTACTTAACATATACCAGGTAAGAGTGTAAGGGGGGGCAAGATATAGATGTAAAAGATGAGGCCCCAAATAAATACCTGAATTAGAAATGGCAATATGAAAAGAAACTGCCAGCTAAATATTTTTTCAAGACATGCTTAAGGCAGGATAATTTTTGCCAGCTGTCCAGGCTCTGGCAGTAAGTTAACCATATGTGTGCTCCACATTGGTAAGTTCATAAAACTCAACAAGGATCAAGTACAGGTCAGCCACTCTAAAGGTCTTAGACTATGATTATTTGTAAAATATCTCCATCAGCAGGGACATTAAAAATGCTATGCAAAAGCATTCAGGCAGCAAAACTGCATACATAATGAAAAATTAAGCATAAAAAATGGCTATCACAAATTTTTATAATGAAAAAAATTATCAGGGGAAGAAGAACAAGTATTAAAGAAAAGACAAGTTGCCATCAATTTTAATTTTATTTTAGAACATGAACATTGGCCAAAGCCAGTTCCACAATTTTGATGAAATGTGGTTTTTGAATAGCTTGATACAATGAGCAATGTGCAACCAAATATGATTGCTGGAAATGCAGGATGAACAACCCAAATGCTGTTTGAAAATTTGAAAGTTCAAGAAAAGAAGCAATTTTGTCAAATAGTATATGTCAGAATACAATAAATTGTTTAAATTTTAGTCAAAAGGATAATGAAAATGTGATGTCTGGCCTACTCTTATTATTACGAAAGATTAGTTACAATTAAGCCAAATAAATATTCTCCAACCACATCAACGATGCTTACGAGACTTTGCAGAAAGAACAGAAATCTTTTTTTCTCAACCAAGACAGCCAATCCTACATAAGTAATCTAGAGTCATCGCAAAAAGAAAAATTCTCACTTTGTTCCAATCCTTGAGACACCGATTTCACAACTATCTGATCAAGATTCATGATGAGGTGATAGCAAGAATTCTGCACATTATGTCAGAAAAAATAAATTTTGACATTACACAGATTTGTTGTTCAACCAACCAGAACCAGTCTATATTTAATCTCCAACCAGGAATGTTTAACACCAATTCACAGCAAGAGTTGTAACTCAAGAAAATGCAGCACCACATATACAATTCCTTGTAAAATGTAAAATTAATAAATACAAGGATGATCTTGGCAGGACAAACCTGAATAATCTCGCACCACTCTTTTCCCAACAACTGGAAGGAGCATTAGGATCATCAGTCATTTACTTGATAGTTGAGAAAATATTTGCAATAAATACAGAGAAGAAATAAAACTAAGAATTTTAACCTATAATCTGTCTATGAATTCAAAATCATTGCAGAAAGGACAAATTACACAACTCCTTCAACCATTTCATAGGGATAATATGAAGGAGTCTTAGAGAAGAAATCATACTAACCTTGTGTAAAATAATGTCAAAAGGACCTTGATCTGATAGTGGCCTGTTTAGATCAATGGCTACAAACAATATCCCTTTGTTGCTGCAACAAGCATCAAGATATTCTAATGATAATTCTTGAATGTCTTAAAGCTTATGGAAACTTTTAGAACTCTAAAACTCTTTCTCAACACAGAATGCACCAAGAGAAACATCCAATAATTTCTCTTTTTTTTTTGTTCCGGAGACAATGGCAATTTGTTAAATCACGTGCCTCCATAAGAGATTACAATTTAAGGCCAAAGAATCCCTTCCACTAATTATTATACAAAATTCAGAATTAACAAATTTGAATTCTTTGGAACTTTTCATGGATATAAATCTGGCATAGATAGATGACCTTTAGAGCAATGTTTGGCATATTGCATTCAAACAAGAAAGAAAAAATGCCACCATCGATAAAATACTATTAAATACAAATGGATGTGAAAGTCAAGCTTTGAGAGTCCACCACAGTTTTAAGTGACAAATGTAATCTATGAACTAAGTTAAGTGACAAATGTAATCTATGAACTAAGTTAAGTGACAAATGTAATCTATGAACCAAGTATCGGAGCAAAACATCCTATTATTGCTAATTTATATGAACAGTGTCTGATAAAAATAAATAAAGAATGCAGAAATTTCATGATTAATAAAGTGAAAAAAGGATAGTGTACCATCGGATGCTCGACAACATTTGACATAGGTTAACAAGAGAAAGTGCCATGCAATAATTGACAGAACTGAAAGAAAATCAGATAAATAAATCTTCTTAGTAAAGAAATGAAGAAAACTTGGTCTAATTTGATTTTTTTAACTACAAAAAGAGCAAAAAAGATTGACTTTGTATTTCTCCCTAACAACTAATCCGAATGGTATACGAGGTGGAATATTCCCAATCTAGAAAATCAAGATAATTTGCCAAAACTCTTGTCCTCCACAAGTGAAATTGGCATGTTAGGTCAAGCAAAAACAGTTGCAAAAACTTGATTTGCTTGGATCATCTTTGTACACAAATAATTTTAGCACTATCAACATATGCCGTATCCCCTGCCACCACAAAATCTGGTTTTTTGGAAGCATCACAGATAAAAGAAAAGGTCAACTACAACCCAACTCAAAGCGCATTAAAATTATAATTCATGACATACATCATACATGTTCATACAAATGAATATACAAACACACCATATAGAAGTGACTAAAAGCAAATGCAATAGTAGCAAGATTACACAACTAAAACAAGAAAGGCCAAAGGCATTATTTACATCAATATAGATATAAAAACAAAGTCAAAGATATAAAAATGAAAAGTGATGTGGATATTTGAGTAATGAGTAATATACCGAGCCAAGCGCTCGAACTTGGGTTTCAAGAAACTATTTTTCTTCTTCAATGTCAAGGCATACCCAACAACATGCTTTTGCTCCTCTTCCACCCCATCTTCTCCATCATAAATTTCCCCGTTCAACCTCATACCCACTTTTTTAACACCCTAAACAACAAAGATATCTTCTTCTATTATCTTTTTGGTTTCTGGGTTTTTCTTCCCTTTGTCAAAAGATAAAAACTGTTTTTTTTCTTTCTCTATTTTCCTTTTTTTTCTCTCCAGCAGGAAATGACACCAAAAAAAAAAAAAAAGAACCAAGTTTTTGTAACCCTCTCTTTCTCAGTTATCTACAACTAAATGTATATATATCTATGAAATGGGAGTTTCAAAACTGAAAGTATCAAATACTAAATAGATTGGGGATTGGAATTTTGAAGGGAATATTCAGTTTTGCAAAAGCAAGAGGCAAAAGATCGGAGTTTGAGGGAAAGGAAAGAACTTTGAGCCCATAGATTTTGTGCATAAGAATTGGTCTTTGTTTATATATATAGAGATGTTAGCAGCAGAGGATGGTTTGGTTTGGAAATTTTAATTCCACTTTTCTTTCCCATTTTACCCTCCTAATTACTGCAATTTTTTGTGAACAAACACCTTAAAAATCTTGAAAATGAAATTTCACTTTTGGGAATTTCCTTAAACATATTATCGCTTTGGAATCAGGACACGGATTCAACGATCCAACCAACAGTTTAGGCCAATTTTGATAACTATTCTCTCTGCTACAAGATTTGTCATTGTACCAGTGAGGCATGAAATGCAAGTAAAGAAAATCAATGACAAGGACAGTCTAGAATTGTGGAGATGTCCATCCAGTTAAGTAAAAGGAAGATCGGCATGACAAATATATGTTATAGGTATAACTTATAAATGAAGGAAAATGCCTTGTCAAATATGCCGAGAATATTCTTAGATGAGTTAGGCCAAATTAGAGATAATCCAATTCTAAGTTATTAAATCTTAAAAAGTTTCTAAAAATTCAATGACTTTTGGATCATCCAAAATAGTAATAATAGTAGTAGTAGTATTAGAAGGCAGTAGCTAGCTAGCTAGAGTCGAGTCAAGACCTTTCCAAAAGTAATTTTCTAAATATATTTATAAAGTATCTGATTCTTTTATCCAGTATCTCCCACGGGCGACAGTTTGACTTTGTTTTTATTGCTTGTTTCAGTGATGATAGTCCTGCAATTATTTTTTTTTCTCCTCCTAATTTATATATATATATTGCAATTTTGTGATATATGCCTATTTGTTTTAGAGTAATTAATATTAAAAATATAATATTTCTTTTAATTATGTGACTTAATTAGAAAAAAACTTACATAAAATTTTTTAAGTAAAATTCGTAAAATTTTTAATTAAAAATAATTAAATAAAAGTTAATATGAAAAATTAAAATTAATAGATTAAAAGTTGTTATTATATAAATTAAATATGTAAATTTAAAAATATTTGAAAAAATTTATATATATTTTTTTGGATTTATTTTTTTAGTAAAAATATTATTAAAATTTTTATCGTTAAATAAATATCGATTAAATTTAAATTATAAATAATATTTTTAATTATTTTTTTATATATTATTAAATTTTATCAATCAATTAATTTGAATTTTGTATTAAAATTTTTATTAAATTATTTTTTAAAAAATTCATAAATTTTATTTAAAAAACTTCATACATATTTTTTCCCTTAAATTAATACTAGATTAAAGGAAAACCCCATGGCATGTACTGTCACCGGGAGGATATATAAAGTTGTTTGGTGAATGATATATATATTTTGATAAAATAATTCTACCTAATCCCCGTTGGATGGTGGCAGACAGTATCTAATAATGTTTTTCATGTAGAAAACTATATATGCAGATGTAGCAAAGGTTGGATGGGAATCGATCTTATCCAAACCTTCCATTCCTCCAAGTCCCTAAATAGAAAAAAAAAAAAATCATTCAGCCAATTAGGAGACTTGTATTCCCAGCCAGTCAAATGGGATGGATGACGATTAAATTAAATTTAATGATGACTTAAACACGGATTTTTTAATACAAAAGGACGCAAAGGATAAAGAGAGAGAAATTGTAAGCGTTGGTGATTGAATTTCAATCTCATAAAATTTCGTCTTTTAAAAGATATCCGAAATATTTGAATTAAACACGATATTATTTAAACACTAATTTCAGGGTCATATAGTCTTTAGTAACTGTCTACAAAGAGATGAGGATCCTTTTTATATAAACAATTATAACTTATTCAAGATTTATTAATTTTTATTAGACATTAACCCTGTAACACACATCAAATCTTATCTGCATGCAGTGTTTCTTAGAAGTGTTGATTTAGTGGAAGAACATAAATATAAAGTCATCATACTTCCAGCACAATCCTTTGGATTTTTTTGTAAATGGTAGTCATTTAATTATGAGTTAACTGTTGAAAAAGGAATGAACACGTGAAAAATATATAGGGAATCTTTGGATTCCCAAAAGAACTAAAATGTTTTTGTTTTTGTTTTTTTTTTCTTTTCTCTTCTAAACTAGTCTGAAACAGAAGAGAATATGGCCTCCAACGTGGTGGCTTTTTCTTTCGCCTAATGATGGAAATGGAAGAGCTAACAATAGCATCATGATACATGTGCCTCAAATGTTTGCGTTAGGGCCACTCGTCTTCCATGAATCATGATGTCTCATCATCAATATTGAAGCATGAAATTTGTTTAGGGTTTCACAAGTATCAGAGAAATATGTGATCCAGAAGCAAATAAACTTTTTGGTTTTACAACCCAATTCTCTTCACACTAAAGTTGTGATCGACTTTCAATGCAATAAAGACCAATCCACTAACATCTTCTTATGCACTAAAGACTTTTACTTTAATACATGCATATCGAATATTTTGTCAGAATTTTGGTTTCGGGCAAGGATTGCAAAACAAAACATGCTTCATTTGAAATAGCTTTCAATTGGGCCATTTCTAGAATACAAATTACTAGTAGTGTTGTACAAAGCCTCTGGTTTCGCATTTACTTTAGAATCATACAAAGGAAGCATGAGGCCACATTTAACATGGGTACAGAAACAGCTCTGATTGTAATGGCAGTTGTTCACATTTGATTTTGAGAAACAACTAAAAGTCTTATACTACATATATATATATATATATATATAATACTTTTATTTAAGTTATGTTACTATATTTCACTAACGTAAGAGATATATGCAAGTAATATAGTAATAAAAAATTACAAGCTTACAAAATCATAAATTTTATTAATTTATAAACAAAAGTATAAAGAAACAAAATATATCAAATAAATAATTTTATCTAAAATTGTGAGCAACGTTTTTTTTAAAGAAACAAAATCTTCAAGAATTGAATCTGAATTAAATGTCTCATCAATATCTATTTCTTTGTTGACAATCAAGTTATTTGTAAAAAACATATCTTCCATCTTGTTTCATTGTCTTATTTTGACAATCTTCATAACTGAAAATAAATGCTCACTAATTATTGTAAAACATTGGAAGAGTTAAAACAAGTTTGATCAATCTATTTATGATATAATATACTTTTGATTTTCCTATTTGTCAAAACAAGGTACAATTATGATAAACAATACAAATTTTGCAATTTTAGATCATTGTACAAATCATACTTAATGTTTCAGCTGAAATTTCAAATTCAATATCTTTTACTTAATAAAATCAAGAAGATAATATTTTTCTACAAAAATGCAAATATCATCAATATTAAAAGACTTATACTCTTTTCTTAGGTCCCAAGCATAGCTAAGTGTTAAAAAATCCATTACTTGTTCACTAAACCTATTGTTTAGCTCTTGTAATTAAAAATCAATTACTTCATTGAATATGTCAAAATAATAATGATATTCCATAATGATTTGACTTTTTAGGTTGACTTCAATCTTAAAAATATTGAGCATTCAACTCAGGAACACTCAAATTATGCTTGTCTAAAAATAATATCACATTGTCAAGCAAACTATTCCAACCATCTTCTCTCAATTTTTGAATCACCATCTTTACACTTGAAACCAAATGCATAGCATTCAAAATGTATTGAGCTTTTTTTGCAAAGTTTGGCATAGTATGTCATTAATGCCCATGATTTCTTTCATCAAGTGCAACATAAAAATAAATTCAAATGATTGAATTAACTTCGATGCAATACTAGCATCCATTCATTAAGAATAAATGGATCTTTTTCTTTTAATATTATCAAGCACTAGACATGTTGCATCAAACATTGTTATAAGACTATATATAAAGTAAAATTGAGAATCCCAATAAGTATTTCTAGCTCATTTTAATGTGCCTATCGGATTGACACATTTTCTAATCTCAAGGTCATCAATAATTATCATATATGCAATTTTAACTGCTTGAACAGCTTTGTAATTCGTATAATGTTTGCATGAGACATTAGCAAAATTGACCATGAATGTCAAATTATTGAAAAGCTCATGAATAGAATGTACCTCTCTAAATGTAGCAATAAGAGCCAATTGGAACCGATGAGTTAAGCAATGCACATAATAAGCAAAAGGACAATTATTAAAGAATAATGCTTACAATCTTTTCCATTCCCCATGTATATTACTAGCCCCATTGTATCCTTGACCATTAATTTTTTGAATATCAAGACTATGATGAAAAAGAATAACACATATTTCATTCTTAAGAGTTAATGCAAATGTATACTTAACATGAGCAAGATCAAAGAAACATTCTCTAATAAAGCCATTTTTGTCAACAAATCTCAAAACAAAAGTCATTGTTCGTTTTTGAATTCATCACTAGCCTCGTCAATAATAATGCAAAATTTTGAATCTCTAGTAACTTCACTAATTTTGTTTCGTACATTATTAGCACGAACATTCAAAATCTCTTTTGTAATCAATAAGTAATATACTTGGTTGATTTAAGAGCATTTCCAACACAACTTTCTTAAAATTATCATTATAAAAAGCCAAAAGTTTAACTAACTCAAGAAAATTTTTCCAGTTTTTTGAATTAGGTGTCTCATCATGACATCTAAAAATACAAGTTTGAAATGCAAGCCATCAGACAACATATATAGAAGTCTTGACTCATAACTTGTTATCCAAAATTTACTGTGAACTTTATAAAAGCATTACTTTACTAATGTGCCCAAACTATTTCATCGAATCTACACAAAATCTCATTGCATTATTATATGGTAAACAGGGATCATCTTCAATATGATGAAAAAAAATACAATTTTTCCTAACATTAACTTTTTTCCAACATGTAAATCCTTTAATAGTGAAAACATTCGGATCAAATCGCCCATTGGATTTTATGTTAAAAAAGTAATATGACAAATAATATGCAGCACCTTTTGTTGGAGAATACTCAAGCCAAGAAGAAAACTGAGCAAACCAAGATTATTGAAAACATTTATAATATTTTTCTAAGTTATATGGGTAACTGAAGAATGAATTTGATATAGACTTGCTTTCAAGTAAACTCGTTGAATTTCATGCTATTGCTTAACTAGATGTTTCCACATCGGTCAACGTAACCAAGGATCACATTTTATAGAAAGAGTGTTAACTTTTTCACCATGAGAGATTAACTAGAACTTTGGTGCTCAAGCTTGAGGGATTTGAATGGTATATTACTTTATAAATTATCATCATTTTAAAAAAAATGAGTCTAACCTTCATAAATTATAAGACTTGCAATTATATAAATTTATTAGTTTAATTTTCATAATAATTTTTTTTATTTTCTAATAAAATTTAGAATTTATAATACTTATTTATA